GAGTAATAACTCCTTACGTCAGGAGCTTCGTTAAACTGGCCATTTTCCTCCAGTATTTTTGCAAAGTCCAGATGCATGCATATCTGCCTACTACGGTCCCGTAACACCACGCCTTAGCGCTGGTAGGACATACGGTCCCCTAGCGCCAAACACTATGGGGGCGTACGGTCCCCTAGCGCCAAGCGCTATTGGGGCATACGGTCCCCTAACATCAGCCATCTATTAAAATCTAGATCTAGATATCTACTTCTTATAGACTAGTTTGTTCGGACCCGTAGTTTGTTTTTTGTTTTGTGCTAGATTCTAGATCTAGATCTAGATCTAGATCTAGATATCTACTTTCATTTTAATACCTGAATTCGCAATTTTTTCAACAGAGTGTCTACGTACACACGGTAACCGGGCACCTAGCCTCAGTGTCTACATACACGGTAACTGGCAACCAGACACGTAGTCTCAGTGTCACGAACACTAACCGGGCATGTAGCCTCAATATCTACGTACATGGTAACCGGCAACCGGGCATGTAGCCTCAATATCTACGTACATGGTAACCAGCAACCAGGCATAGTCTCAGTATCACGTCAGAATTCCAAGTTCAGTTTTTGTCATCCTGTGTGGCCTTCATCCCCACCCCTCCCCCGACTGTACCTTTAAAAAAATCAATAAATGCCCTCGTTCCGGAGCCCTATACTTCGCCGCGCACAGACTTTGAATTAACTTTGGTGACCCCGACCGGTATTCTCAATGTAATGCACATAGTACGCAGGTTCTCTGACCGGTCACGATGGTGAGCCCGACAAGACGCTTGACCTTTTTTTTCAGCAAATGACAGCACAGGACAAATATTGATTTATTTTCATTCAGGTTACCGTGTACGTAGATACTGAGACCAGGTGCCCGGTTACCGTGTATGTAGATACTGAGACTAGGTGCCTGGGAACCGTGTACGTAGACATTTCGTTTTTCAAAGAAATCCGCGTATTCGAATCCCTCGCAAAATGCCAAAATGCTGAAATTGAAATGTGCTCTACATTGGCTGGAACGTAGATAGACCTACACAGTCAAACCTGTTCAAGACAATCACCTGTATAACGACCCCTTCCCACTTTCCCCTCTGCGCTTCTATAATAAAGGCCGGCTCTATTTCTCGGAACGTTCGGGAAGATAAACTTGAACTCTATTTCTCAGAACGGTTTCCGTTCTTGAGATTTTTTGTTTTTTTGCGAATGGAGGGCCCGTGTATGTGTGTGTGTGTGTGTGCCATGTGAGTGTGCGTGTGTGTGCTGTGTGAGTGTGCGTGTGTAAGGTGTGAAGGGATGGGGGGGAGTGTGGAGGGATTTTTTTTGTGATTTAGTTTTTGCTTTAGGGGTGACTAAATGCAAAATAGGTTACTGCCAAAGTCTAGTGGTCTTGTTTTCTCGCAGTACCTTTTGAAGGCATTTTCAAATGAAGTATAGTCCGGGAACGTTAACCCAACTACAATTGAAGTATCTGAATATTCAGATAACTAAAAATTTCTAGCTCTAGAAATTGAATTCGATCCAAAAAAAATGCTTCTTCCCAGTCCTTGTAGAATGGCAGAATGAAAGATAAATAATTATCCTGAGCGTTCAGGGAAAGAGAAATAGTCACTTCGTATATTAAATAGACGTTGTCTTTGACGTCCATCTCTCTATAAAACAACCACTGTTCTCATTGGCAGTAAGTGGCCTTCTTGGACAATTTCTAGTACACACGAATGCATAAATGACACTAGCCACTCAAATCGCAAAAATTCAAAACTTTCTCCCCCAAAAAGATGGGTCTTACTTTTTACTTTTTCAGGCCTCTTGTTATTCTTACAGTGTTTTTTTGTGATCATCTGTTCGCTGGCATTTAATTTGTTTTTGCCTTTTCTAAAGTTTTACTGAACCCTTCTCTGTTCATGTTTTCCTGGACCTGCATTTTCCACGCAATACTGCCTGATTACCATCAGATGTTCAAACCTTTTTATTCTTCGTTTTACCCCAGCAGGGAGTCGAGCCAACTTAATTGTTCTCTGACAATCTCGTTTCACCTTGTCTCTTGTGATGTTCAAACTTGTTCTGAAGCGTCTCATTTCATTGGCGTTTATTCACTTTGGTGACTCTTGTTTGTTGTCCATGTGTGGGCTTGGTATTTTAAAATGGACTGGCGCTTTGCTTCCTTTTTTGGATGTGAAAGGTTAGTATGGCATGGTGCCAGTTGTTAAGTCACAGCATTGGCCTTTTTAAAATTCTAGTTTCTATTTCTTTGTCCATCTTTCTCAGACTTTCTGTCATGGGTGAACAAACATTCCACTCCCAGGTGTTTTAATTTTTCTACTTTTGCTTGATTTTGTTGCTGTTGACTGTGGTATTTAGTGAGCCTGATGCGTTTTGTTGATTTTCATTGCCTTAGTTTCACTTTTGTGTGCTGATCTTCATGTTGTGGTCTTTGCAGCTTTTGTTCACTTTGTTCAGTGAAGAGTCTACTTGGTGTCGATTTGTATGCTCTGATGGCCAGCTTAGAAACTCGTTGATTACCTTGTTTTCTGGTTTAGCTTCTGCTTTATTTTGTCCATATTTATAGTACAGTAAAGGGGATAGTACACGTCCTAGTCTCACTCCCGATCTTACACCAAAGAACCATGGTGTTTTTTCCATGTGGTACCCTTACTGTTTTTTGCAGTTTTTATTATCATGCCATGATGTTGTCCATTAGTTGTCATCTGATTCTGTATTCTTCCAGCACTGTCCACAAACACACAAAAAAAAGAATGCAAAAAACAGACTGCACTCGAACCACAAGTCTCTTACTTTTTCCTTGCACTATGTGACTGTTATCATGTCAAATGTACTTTTTGTTACTCACACTTGAACTAAAAGAAAGGTCTACAACTGGAAACAACTTTTTATTTCAGATGTTTCGCCCTCGAAAGAAGCTACTGATTGCTCTTTTGGTGGTTGGAGCCTTTCCTGTCTGCTGCATGATCTACATGTTGTTCAATGAGGACAGTGAGTGCAAACGATCATTATTTATTTGTTTCCATCTGACACAGATTATCATGTTTCTTTCAAATTTTGTTGATGATTACTTTTTTATGAGTTTAAAAGTGATTTCACTGAAACTGTAATAAAAAAGATTTAAAGTGAAATTTTTTCTACAATTCTGTCCTGTACCTGTTGCATTAAATTATAGGCCTTTTGAATTCAAATGAATTTCTGGGTAATAAATATGCAATTATATTCACTCAGTATTGTTATAAACGTGATAGCTAATTAAAGTATTTGTTTCTATTTTTCGCTTTCTGATTTCATCAAAGACTAGCTATGCATTACTTTCGAATAATTTAATTTTTGTTTGAATTCGCCTCAGACCCCACCACCCCCAGTAGGGAACTTACAACATGACATAATTCTCCTTTGTTATTCCATCTTTTCTGTCTGTTCAGTGTCTTTCTGCAGTTGGGTCAACTGAGGAAAATAGGACCGTATCCCTTTTCCATGGTTTTCCATGGGTTTGACATACTTGTAATCTAGTTCAATCTTGATGTCGGCTCTAAATTAGTGACAATTGCAGTAACAGTTATTTGCCTTTATAGAAGGAGAAGAAAAGAAAGAAAAATATTCGGAGTTAAACTTAAACTTTCTCTTCTTTTTTTTTTGTTTTATTCTTTTTCTTTTCTTTTATGTTACATAGTTCAGTTTGGAATGACATTTTTCCTCAATGATTCTTGGATTTAGAGACATGATTCCCTCTTCTTAATGTTTCAGATGTTTATTCATCCTACAATGAAAATCGAGTGATTAATCCTGTGGAGGTGAAACTGATTGAGAGAGTTCAGGAAGTTGAGGATCAGAACATTGCCCTGAAGAAACAGTTAAGGTAAATCAACTGTGTAGTGTAAGACTGCCAATTTAAAAAGTGACATATGAAGAGGACGTACACCGAGCATTCGAAATGAAGTAAACTAAGTACTAGAAGTATTAACAGACATAAATGGAGTATTTTCTCCTTATACATGAATACATTTTAGTTATAAGTTGAAACTCACACCAACAATGTACTTCTTTGTCTCTAAAATAAGTGTCACAGACAGCGCATTGATACCATTTTTAAAGAGGTGAGGAATTAAAAGTCTGCTCAGAGTGGTTTTGAATTGGATGAATAGCGCAACGCACAACTGCAGTCACTGTCCGTCAGCTTCAAGTGGTCTATGTATGTGAGAGCCTACCATTGTGAACAGAGGTTCATCACTAGCTATGTTCTCAGATATCTGCAGAGTTTTATACTTGTGTCATTGATGGCCTAGTGGTAAGGCTCTTGGACTCACAACCGCCAGGTCATGGGTTTGAATCCCATCAGGTCCAGCATGGTTCTATAAAAAGGCACTTTACACAAATTTTCCTCACTTCACCCCGCTGGGAATGGGTACCTTCCTCTAGACATTGAAAGACCTTATCTGCTTGTTAGTGTTTGAATGTTTCAGAGTGCTTTAGGGTCTGCTGAGGTAATCCAATTGTGCAAATAACATAGAGCTTGCTGTTGAGTAGGGATATGTGCTATAAAAATGCTATTTACTATTTTTACACTATTTATACATCTAGCAAAACGTTTTTTGCATGGGAGAAGTGAAAAAGTTTTAACGCCATGAACCTTTACCCTCCTGTGCCCCAGATGCATGCCTCCGAAAATGGTGGTGTACATCAAGCAGTCAGCGTACTGGAGCTGAGGTCCAGAGGTCCTATTGAATCAGAAGGGTGGGAGGCAGCTCAAAAACAAAGGGTTAACTTACCAATATTTCTGTGCTTAGTCTAACTGTATATTTCTAGGATACTATCTGGACGACTTTTTTGTTTTATCCTGGGATCAGAGACATTTTCTTGCTTATTAACTAATAGTGTATGTCCTTAGTTTAACTCACATGAAGTTTACGTTTTAATTATAATTAAGAGCCTAATAAAATTTGTATCCATTTTTCGGATAAGCAAATGCTGCTAAAAATTGTTCCTTCTTTGAGAACTGAGTCAGGGAAGATCTTTATACTACTTTTTGATGTTAGTGAAACTAGTGTCGGGTCTTGAAATACTTTACTCTTATTGTATCTATATAATGTTTCATTGAACATTTACTCACTGGTCAGAGCCACTGTTTGGTCATGAAAAATCCATCCCTTTCATTGTTTCTTTTATCTATCAGTCAAAACCAGAATCAGTTGTTGAGACTTCAGATGACCCTGGCTGCAACCAATGACTCAAGTGCGTCTGCCAAGTTCAAATGTGTGAATGCTGAGCCAGATGTTCCAAAGTGCGAGGTACACATGATATTGTGATTAAATACTCTCTAGCCTGCTCTAACAGATACCTGTCCAAGACAACCACCTGTCTTAGTAGACTACTTTCCTCTCCCCGTTACTTTTAAAAATATTATTATGTCACTGTCCAAGGTGCTCTCAAGTCTAAGACAATAGTTTTTCTCTTCGACAACAGATGGCTGTCTTGGTCAATTTCTATTGTATAAGTAAACTTGCTTGTCTTCATTTCATTTGGAATGCATGTTGTCACAATTTTACTAATATGTTTTCCATTTCTCCTTTGTTTCAAGCTAGAATGTAAATTCATCTATCCATTGCAGTGTCTGTGGCCAGGTTTTTAGCTCGCTGCCTCATTTGAAAATTGAACTTAAGTTCAGAAGAATAAAAATAAAAACTAGATTTTAACACTGTAGTCACACAGCCAGCAGTTCAAAATACCCCATCTGATCACCCTGCCAGGAGAGAAACTGCGTCAGGTGATCAGAATGGATCATTTTCACTGTCACATTATTGCGGCAAGTCACCGCAAAGTGTTAAATCTCACAAGTTTGGCCTCAAAAGGAACTTTTGACCCAATCTTTGTACTTTGTTTTCAGATTCGATTTCAAGTTTTTGATTTAGTGGCAAACTATGTTGGTGAAGGAATTTTAAAGTTGTTGGGCACCAGAGAATGTCCTTGAACAAGACACAGTAACCATCCATAAAGATTAAGGCACTGTATCGTAGTCGTCAGTTAGCTTTTTGATTTATTAAATGGTTCGTTATGTATTATGTAATCTCGTATAACTTGTGAATAGGTGTATGCTTTATGTGTGAAGTTTCATTTTTGGGATGTATTTGTCATAACTTTGTATCCCATTATATCGTAAGTTTTCCCATGGTAGTAAATGAATTTCTTTTGCCTTCTTGCTTTTCACTTTTTCAAATATATTCAACTCATTTATCTCTGTGTTTCAGGTAATCCATGTGGCTATTGTATGTGCTGGACATAATGCTACCAGAGATGTTGTCACCCTCATCAAGTCCATCTTGTTTTACCGACGCAACCCACTCCACTTTCATTTCCTGTCAGACCCCCTAACTGAGACAATTCTTCGAAAGCTCTTCCAAACATGGAGTGTGGCAGAGGGTAATTGCTCTTTTCTTATTATAAATCAGTTATTGTTGTATCATTCCTTTCTGTCGCACGAAAAATGTTTGTCCTTTTGATCTGGGTGTATAGAGTAAGAAAAAAAACTTATGAGTTTCACTCATTTTCCTTGCAGCCGCAGCAATGTGTTTTTGTTTACATAACTTGCAACACTTTAAGATCAAACTGAAATAGAAAGTTGTGGCTTTTTATATGTGTAATTACAACTGAAGAGCTCAAATTTAGGAAAGTGGTATATATCATGTATTAATTGTGGCACATATATGGAGGAAGAGTGATAAATAAAGGCAGGGAGGTGAGGGGTGGGTGTGGGAGACAACAAAAGGAATGTTATCGATCTATTCATGAGACACTTCAGTCACTTAGTTAAAGATTTTGTTTTGCTCCTGTTTCACAGTTGAGGTCAGTTTTTATCCAGCTGAGTCCGTCAAGGTAAGACACAGTGCCAGAAGCTAACAACCTGTTAAACTTTACTTTCAACTAACATTGGCTGACCAGGGATCCATTCAGTTATTTTTCTGCAGTTAACTCTGCCCCTCAAAATAATACAAAGAATCTTATTAAAAGAGTTTTCTTGACAGTCTAATGGAAAGAAATCGTCTACTAAATGAACGTGAGTTTGTTTCCTTACTATTTTGTTGTATTGCATTACCTACTATAGCATAAATAAATAAATAGTTAATTATTTATTCATTTCTAGGAAAGGAAATTTCAACTTGCGTACAAATGTTTACATACGACTAGTTTCCGTCTCAATAATAACTTCCTCATAGCAAAAAAATACGATGACGTTGTTGTCGCTTCAATATTATGTGCTTTCAAGAAAGTGATTTTTTTATATCGTTGAGTTTTATCACAGAGTGTACCCTGTAAAGATTTTCGCTGTTTTACTACAGACTGTCTGTTTTCCCTTATCAAAGCACAAAATAACTGTCGCTCTGTCTTTACTCATGCTGAAAAAAAACTTTGGCAAGCATTGAATGATTGTTATGGTGTGGTTGCACTTCTCATTTCTCAAAAACTAATCTCATTATGTGAAATAAGCCTTGTGAACATTGCTGTTCTTGCATTTTCCACAGCCCGATATCAGCTGGATCCCAAATCGTCATTACTCAGGCGTGTTTGGGCTCATGAAATTGACGCTACCCAAAACTTTGCCAGAACACATGAACAAGGTAGGTGTACTAAGACTGTTGCTTCTTATTTCTCTCTGTCTGTCTGTGCTGGGCTCTTGATTTCCTTCAAGTGTCTGATGACATGGTAAAATCAGGCGAATCACCGTTAGAAAAGAATCGTCAAAGTATTATTAGATGATGTGTTGTCAACGATTTCATACATCACGTATGTCAAAAAGTATCTCAGAGCAAAGCATCTAAAACAACAATATTAGATGATTCAATCATTTCTGCTACAATTTTCTGACCAGAAATGGAATGAAGGGAGTGAAAATAATGTTTTTTCATATTCGATAAAAAGTCCATTTTTGATCGTTCCTGGGCTGCATCTCGGTTAAAGGTTGTGCATCTTCCACCTGGTTGTCCAGGCAACTATATGTTGTATACCATTTCAATGTGTGCAGATACATTTTGTACCTTCAGAATATGTATTTGTGTGCCTTAATTACCCCATGTGTTTTTGTTTATTGTATTATTATTTATCTCTGAATGCTTGCTTGCTTGCTTGCTCCTCATCTCTGTTTAAAGTTTCTCTTTTGTATTAATGAGATTTTTCTGATCATGTCTTAGGTATTGGCATCTGTTGTGTAATGGTAAGAGTTTTGCTGCTGCATGCAGGAGACCTGCGTTCGATTTCCGAGTGGGGAGAATTTTTATCAGGTATCTCAATCTTCTGCTGGGATATTGTTCCCCCTCAGCCCGGGTTGGCCATGACAGTCAAAGTCAGAAGCCTGCCCCCAAAATGATCTAAAATTGTGTGGATGGGAGCATAAAAATGCCTACATTCAAATGTCTTCGGTCTTGGTGTGGTTTCTGTTCTTAGTCTTTTGGTTTATGATAAAGCAGAGAATAGACAGTCCTGTCGTCTATGGTCTAGTGGTTAGGCTACGGGACTCATAAAAATGTAATCATGAAGTTATGGGTTAGAGTATTAGAGCTTCAGGGCCGACATTGTGTCTTTGGGAAAGGCACTTTACACGAATTTTCCTCACTTCACCCAGGTGGGAATGAGTACACATGCGGCCATAGACAGCGAAAGATCTTATCAGTATGTTAGTGTTTTAGTGCCTATAAAATGGCAGCTTGCTCAGTAGTTTGCTTGCCAAGAAGTTGAGATTGTTTCAGAATGCTACCAGGTCTGCTGGGGTAATAATATTGAATGTTAAGCGCATAAAGCTTTCTGTAGAGCAGGAAATTAGCTATACAAATACTATCCAGTATTATTATTATTATAATATCTGAATGGGTTGTTTTTTTCAGGTGATTGTCCTGGATACAGATGTGACTTTTGCCACAGATATTGCTGAGCTATGGAAAATCTTTAGAGTGCTGCGTGGGAAGCAGGTACACAAAACTCCTTTCTAAATATTTCTAATTCATAATGATTCAGTGTGGAATTCTTTTCCAATAGCACTATTAATTTCACCATTAGTTAGGCTTCTTTAAAAGATTTTTTCTTGAACGTGAAAGTAACATATGGTAAGTGAGAAAGTTACACAAAGACAGAGTTGCAATATCTGTTTTATACAGACCTGAAAAATCTGCTTATTGTTTTTATGAATGAACATCTATGTAATAATAATAGGAATAATACCATGACTTCGTAAGACTGATTGTAGTGCTGGTGTATGGTATCTCCTATGATACAAGTTATGTTTGTATGAAAAGAAACACTTTTAAACATACATATAGAAAAGTTTGATCTTTCACATTTTCTTCAATGACAAAAAATTTCATTTTCTTAGAGAATGCTGTATTTAGTTGATTTTAGGAAAACTGATTATTGTTGTTTCCTGCTCCTGGAGTATATGAATGTCATGGATACTGAACATTTCTCCCCCTCAGGCTATAAGCTTTGTGGAAAATCAGATAATTCTAGATAGCTGCAAGTGTATTAAATCCTTTGATACTGAATACTTTTTTTCCTCCAGGCTATAGGCCTAGTGGAGAACCAGAGTGACTGGTACCTGGGCAAGTTGTGGAAAAATCATCGACCTTGGCCTGCCCTGGTGAGTGCTTTGCATGGACACATTTTACTCTATGTTTGTTTGTGCATCTGTGCATCATCACAGCTGATTGTAGATCTGCAAATACTCACCTGTTTATTGTCGGATTTTGAAATATTTGTCCTTGATAGAACCCCCCCCCCCCCCCATATACAATGGAAATGTTTGGCTCAATAGACAGCAATTCTTCAACTCGTGGAAATTATCGATGTCTTTGAAAATGTTGTAATAATGAAGAAGCATAGAGTCTGCTTAACTTTCATTCTTGTTGACTGTTCTTCTAGGTGCTTTGAAACGCAAGATTAAGCATGCAAATAATATTAGTGAGTTGCAAAGTTTTTGTCTCTCTAGTGTAACTGTGGGGGGTTTTTTGGTTGCCTGGATTGCTTGTGGCATCAAGAGTAAATCGCTCTGTCTTTTTGCCTGCTGTCTTCTATATCTATTTCAACCTCTGCCTCTCTGTCTTATTGTAATGTGACCATCGCTTTTTGAAAGTGTCTTTTATTTGCTCTTTCATATTTTTCTGTCTGATTTTACCAATGTCTTCTTTCTCTTCTTCTGTTCATTTGTGTGTTGTTTGTTTTATATTTTGCCATTAATATAAACATACACTTATTTAAACAGCATTAATAGCTTCCCAGAAAATGATGAAAACTGATTACTCTCTTCGAGGAGAAAAAAAATATCACCTCCCCCCCCCCTCCCCTTCCTTCTCCAGTACCCCCATGCCTCAATCTTCCCTGAAGCATTTGAGCATTCTGAAGCCCCCTCCAAAGCATCCATTATATGCCAAATCCTACTTTTACCATAAACTCTGTTTCCCCAGGGTCGAGGGTTCAACACAGGGGTCATTTTGCTGGACCTGAAGATGCTCAGGGAGATAGGTTGGATGCAGATGTGGCGACTTATAGCCGAGAAGGAGCTAATGAGTATGCTGGCTGTGTCTCTCGCTGATCAGGTGAGAAACAGGTTGGAAGTCAAAGCTTGGCATTTTTTCATTTTAGTCATATGTTTTACAAGAGAGTCACAAACACCAAAAAAAAGGAGGAGTGATAAGGAGATAAAGACGATAGATGTTTGATAAGAAAGAAGGAGCGAACCACAGCGGAGTACCCGCCACCGACCCACTACTCTTATTCACTCAGAGAGGGATTCTAACTGTGTTTTTATTCTCTCTCCCTCTCTCTCTCTCTCTCTCGGCTGTGTCAGGACATCTTCAACACTGTCATCAAGCAGCACGACTATCTGGTGTACAAACTGCCATGTCAGTGGAACGTGCAGCTCAGCATGAACACGCAGAGTGAGCAGTGCTACAGTGAGGCCTCAGATCTCAAGGTGAGTGTTGTTTGCGTCCGTACCCTCAAAAATAAAAATGAAATGAAATAAAGTACCACTTTTATGGATTCATGTGGAGACATTTTGATTACAATAATTAGAACAATACCTACTTACACGAAGAAGTTGGGCATGAGATGTATGCATCATGATGAGTGTCGGGTTTTGTGGGGGTTTTTCAGATCATCCACTGGAATTCTCCCATGAAGCTGAAAGTGAAGAACAAGCACGTGGAGTTCTTCCGCAACATGTACCTCACCTTCCTGGAGTACGATGGCAACCTGCTGCGCAGAGAGCTGTTTGGCTGTTCCAACGGAACCTCCAACCAGACGCAGGATGTTGTGGTTTGTATTTGAGTGTGTGTGTTTGTGTGTGTGTGTGTGTGTGTGTGTGTGTGTGTATGTGTGTGCACTGGTGTGAATATATTTCTGTGCTAAAATAAGAATGTGTGTATATGTGTATGACATTATGTCTGTGCATGTATAATATGTATATGTATGAGGCAGCGTGGTGAAATCAGGAGCTCATCAAAATAATGAAAGTGAAGAAACTGATATTTTTTGACAGGTTTGGGAATATTTATCAACTCGTTTTTTGGCTCAACACCTTAAAGAACACATTTCGTATGGATTTTACTGAAAAACGTTGATTTAAGGCATAAGAGATGTAAATTTAGGTTTCCACAGACTATCAAGCTCAGGAAATAATAAAACTTTGGCAGCCATTTTCTCGCTAATTTTACCTATGAATCCAGGCGACCCCCTCACTAAAAGCTTCAATCGCCAATATCTTGACTTGTATCCAAGATAAATGGATAATTTTATAATTGAAAGCAAGGCAAATGGACAGACCTTAATATGATACCAATAACTCCATATGCAAAAAAAATTAACGAGCGCCTGAATCCACCATATATTGACACATATTATGTGTGTTGGGGGGGGGGGGGGGGGGATTTACTTTATTTTGTTGTTTCTGTCTGTCTGTCTGTCTGCCTGTCTTACTCTTTCTCTGCATTAGGTGACTGTTTTTGTGTGAAAATGCTTCTCTTTACCAAAAAAACGCAAAGCAAATGTTCTACAACATGGACTATTATGTTAGTGAACAAATACAGTATTTCTGACACTTGGTTTTTTTCTGTATTTTTTTCTTTCATGTCACTTACGACATCCGGCAAAAATTGGGTAGTGATAATTCTAATCTTTATTATTTCATGTTGACGTCTTTTGTTCAATGTAAAGACAATGTTTATATAACCTAATTGTGCTGCAATTGCCATAAAACTCTTACTGAAACTAAATACAATGTTCACTCCATCTTGTCAAACAAGTGCAACATTTCAGGCCGTGGGTTTGTTTCTGGGTTGTTGTTTTTTGTTTTGGTTGTTGTTTTTTTTGTTTCATTTTTTTTTTCTGTGGTCACTTACAAAAAGCGCTACCTTCCTCAGCTGAGTGACCACACAGAGGACGATGACTGCTATGATTTCCGGTCAGAACGAGAGCTGGTCCACCGCACACACCTGTACTACCTGGACTATGCGGACACCGGGTCAGGGGGACCCGATGATGTCACACTGGTCCTACAGCTCTCCATGGACAGACTTCAGGTAATGAATGATTAGTGTTTGCAGGGGTGTTCAACATTTTATGGACAGAATGGACACATATTGCTACCTCAGAATTACATTGTTCCTATCTGCTCAGTACCTAGTTTTGAGAAATTTGATGTTAAATTTTTTTAGTTTCACATTATATGAAGCTTTTTTTAATGCAATTCTATGATTGACTTGATAGCAACTCCGAATATTCTTACGATTTTGATAGAGCAGATAAAGCATTTGGTTTCTGACCTCGAAACAAGCAAAAATATAAGATAAAACTTTGTGATTTTGAGATAGCAATATGTTTGATCAGCAGGAGACCTCAGGAAATCTTCTTCTCGATAGCATCACACTTGAAGTCTGGCATCAGTCATATATTGGGCCGTCCTGCTCATTTCTTCTGTCAGATCTGTACAGCTTTTCTTGTAGTGTCAATGGGGTTGGCCGCGGTTCCTGTTTCAGGGCCCTGTGTGTCTAAAAGTACTGAAGGATGTGTTTCAGTTTGGTCCGCCTCTCCACACTGACGTTTTGGTGACTGTACTTGTATAAAAAACCTAGGGCAAGGTTACGCCACATTTCGAATTATCATACACTAATCTGAAACATGAATTTGCGTACTTTATGGTATACATTATGTACCCTACTTTTTAAACTTTCAGATGAGAAAAACAATGGAAAAATCTGTAGGAATAAGGAAACTATGCTCCTTTTCTTTTCTAAAGCAGGGTATTTTCAAGTATTGTTGAATGACAAGCATGCATGTATGTCATCAATGAGTTACTCATCTTTGCCATTCCAGAAAATTTTCTGAAAGTTCCTAGAATCTTGATGTGTGTGTGTGTGTGTGTGCGTGTGAGTGTCTGTCTGTCTGTCTGTCTGTCTACTCCTTTTACATCTAACGGACAAAATCACAACTACAAAAATGTATTCTCTGTAACGTCACCAGGAAATTTTCATCTGCTGTTTTTTTAGCAAAGCTCCTTTTTCAATTGACGCACATGGTGCTGAAACATAGATTTTTGTGTTGAAGATTTGAAAGCAGTAAAGCCCGCTATAATGGCCTCCCACTTAAGACAATTGCCTATACCAATGGCCACTTACGATTTGCTTCCTGGGGTATTTTTTACATTATAATGACACTGTGTAAGACCTATCTAATATGGACACTTTTCTCCTCAACAATAAATGGCGGTTTTAGACAGTTTTGACTGTACAACCTCTCTGTGATTTTGTCAAATCACCCAGCCTCCAGCAATTTTGATAATAATAGTTTGTACTTTCTGAGTACAGGGGAGAGGGAGGGGGTGTGCTGCAGTTTGCTCATTCTGATTCTTGAGGGAGAAAGATGGGGGAGGGAACTGGTTAAGGCTCTACCAAAACCTGCTCTTTCTACTATTTTTTAGCAGCAATGTTTTTCTAATCTGTTCATGGAAAAATGTGGTCATTATTGTACCAACTTGCAGTATCCTCTAGCACTAAAAAAACCAACATATTTTTGTTGGGGTGGGGGGGGGTATGACGCTAGTCTAGTTATTTGTACTCCTTAAGATTATCCATCAAATTGAATGTAAGGATTTACATCTTTCTGCAAGGATGCTTTAACCCACTTGGCCCAGGTTGTTTTTAGTTTTAGTAGAGGTTTTAAGGCGCTGGCAACTGCATAAAGTCATATGAGAGCCGGAAGATTAGAGGTGTTAAACCTCTAAAAGCCCTTATATCTAATTGTACATTTTGTTGATGGAGTTGTGGAAAATTCACTATCATAATCACTACTCACTGGCATCTATGTCCACTCACAGATGCTGGAGATGATCTGCAAACACTGGGAGGGCCCTATCGCTGTGGCACTGTACATGTCTGACGCAGAGGCCCAGCAGTTCTTGCGCTACGCCATGGGCTCAGAGACCATCATGTCACGCAAGAACATCGGCTACCACATTGTTTACAGAGAAGGGGTAAGGAAAATCTTTAGTTACTATATTTATTTTTTTTATTAGGGAAAGAGTAAGGAGAATCTTAAGAAACGATGGTTTTTACAGGGAAGGGATGAGAATGTTTAGTTATCAAACGTTGTACAGGGAAGGGGTAAGGATATTTACTTGTCAAAATTCTTACAGGGAAAGGGTGAGAATGTTTAGTTGTCACATTTTGTTACAAGAAAGGGTTACGAAAAATCTTTTGTTATCACCTTGTGTTCAAGAAAGAGGTTAGTGCAGTTTAGTTTGAGTAAAGAAGTTGTCAACGCGGAGAGGGGTTTGGACCCTATTTGGCTACCACTTTTTTTATCTCACTGCTTTCAGTTGTATGCAAGTACCTGAATGCTTGCAATGTTTTTGTAATTAAGCGTTTACTTTTCCTCCAAAATTTTGGAAAAAAAAAATCAGGTTCCAAGTGTTTTGGGTTTGGTTTGGCGTTCTTTTGACATGTGATGTTGACATTTATTTTTTTTTTTTTTTATTGCTTTTCATTTTTTCCCATGTTTTATATTAAATCTTATATTTATAATCTTTATTCTCAGCTGCAAAGACTTGCACTATAAAGGACCACCAACAAAAGCCCGATTTCAGATTATATCTTAGCACGATTTAGGAAGGGTGGTCTCCGCTAGGGCATTTTCCAACTTTTAAATGACATTTTCGTGCTGGTTTCTTATGCCTTATGATATGATATGAACTTTCACTTGTTATCTTTCTGAATGTTGCTGAATATGCTACTGCAGCTGTTTAAAGATACACATCTTTATTGTTACTTCCAACATATTCACTTATTTTATACAAATGCTCCATTTACTCATTCCTTACCACAAGTGGCATGTTGCAGCTCAAACAACCAATGGTTTATGGCCGTGAGCTGCATCCCACTGCTGTACATATTCCTGACCTCTTTGCTCCTGAGTCATCAGATTTACGGAATCACTCTTTTTTTTGTTGCTTATTTAATCATAATTTTCTTTGATCCGTCAGATAGTAAACTCATTTCCCCAAATTTTAGTATGACACATGTTTCTCTAGAAAAATGTTGAAGAAATTATGGGGTTTTCTGATTCCAGTCAGAAAGGAAAAATGGCCACCGAATTGGCTTTATCTCTGTTATGAAATTATTCAGGCATATTTTTTTTTAATGTAGGTGTTTTTACGCCCCCGTCGACACAATTTAGATCATTTAGGAGACGGGATTTCAACCCAGCCTTTGAGGACCAACCTAGATGGAGATGCTCGATAAGGCTTATCTCCCCACCTAAGAATCAGACTCGGGTCTCCTGCCTGCGACAACAAAGCAAACCAACTACTATACCACAGACGCTGGTAATGGTCAGGCAAGGAAAGAGTAACATTTTTGAGCATTTCAAAAAGTTTTTCTTGTTGGTCTCTTCCTCAGCAATTTTACCCTGTGAACTATCTCCGGAATGTCGCCATGTCTCAGGTCCGCACTCCGTACATGTTTCTGTCAGACATTGACTTCCTGCCTATGTACGGCCTGTACGAATACTTGAAGAAAGCCATACCCATGATGGACATGAGGACTCAAAAGAAGGTGAGTGAAAAGTTACTATGCAGGGATTATATAGGGATTCAGGAGCCCCTGTAAGTGATCTCTTGCATGTGATGATAATGATCATCATTGTCGTCATCATTATCTTCATTGTTGTATCATGCAAAGAAAAACACTAAATGTATATGGAGACATGTTTTTTTGCTGTTTTTTTATAGTATCATAAAGTTTTAGCTCTCTTTGGTCTTCATCAGGAATACAGTAAGGAAAAAAACAACACAAAAGTAATAAAGCGTTCACTTACAACATCATGCGCTATAATGCCTACGATAAACTTATACAGTCGAACCTGCCATGGCAGCCACCTGTATAATAAGGCCACATGTACAAACGACCTCTTTCCATTTCCCCCCTTGCATTTTTTCTCTATAATTTAACTGTGTAAACGGTCACCTGTCCGCCACCTTCTTTGATCAACCCACTGTCAAATTTACTTGTGTGGTTACTCATTGCCCGACACTTTGTCGTAAACTTTGAATCTGCTTCTCACGCTGTGGACGGGCCGTCATAATTCATTCACCTGTCGTTATGGTTAGTCTCTCCTATGAATGTTTACCCAAGTTGACGAATGAGTAGGTCTAGCAATAAATTTTCAACTGCTGGTGAGGAAGGCGTGATCCGTCATAACCTTTTATCAACCGCCCACAACTCTTGCATAAATCGTATGTGAGGTGACTGGTCACTGTTTTGTTTACCTAATCTATAACAAAGTAACTATGGACATTGACATCTGCAGCCTTTCTACTGCTACTTTTGGCTCCTTCTTACTGCTGTCTTTCAGCCACGCCCCTGATCTTATGGTAGACTAGATCTAACACCTTGCCTTCTCTGATTAGGGGCGAAAAATCTCACTGATTCCGTGTGCCAGTTGCGCACGTTAAAGATCCATTGGTGGTTGAAAATTTATAAGAATAGGATTCGGCTGCCACTCGGGCTAAATTCAAAATTTCCTACCCACTGAAAATGTTTAGTGTGTCAGGCACACTCATATAACCTAAATGCAGTTGCGAGCACCATAAAACACACACACTCACAAAAATATCTTTTTCTCTCTCTCTCTCTCTCTTTTTTTGTGTCTAACTTCAACTCTCTTTCCCTCTTTTTCTCAACCTTTGCATATCTTTCTCCCTCATTTTGTCCTTTTAAAATTCTTTCTCCCTCTTCTTCTCTTTCTGCAGGCATTGGTGGTACCAGCATTTGAGACCCAGCGCTATCGCCTCCAGTTCCCTAAGTCCAAGACAGAGCTGTTGTCCATGCTGGATATGGGGACCCTCTTCACTTTCAGGTACACTCCACATTCTCAATGTGTAACTGTCTGTACCTAAAGAAAAGATGTTTTGGGTGGTTAATTAGTGCTTGCTTAAAACTTTAAAACTGAGGCAGGGTTTGTTATTCACTTCTCTTGGTTGTAGCTTCTATATGTTAATGATTACTTCCCTTGGCTTTCTCACTGGATTTAACTCATTTGGAACGCATTGGACGCAGACGTTCGATAGCCTTGAGCTTCGTGGAGACTCTTCGGACATATAAGTCCGATACCGTTTCTTGGCCGTTGTGGCAGCACAAATGAAGGTAGTCTTGAGAACAAACTTTTGTTTTACATTTCTAAGCCATTTTTATTTTGTATTTATTCACCTTTGACCGTGAGAGTGAAAACGGACTTTAAATATCAAAGGGAGAAAAAATGGCAGACTTTCAATCAAAGTTGACCCAAAATCGCGCGTCTCTCTGTGGAAAGGTGGTCCAAAACTTGCGTCCCGAATGTGTCAAAGAGGCACTTTTTTACTTTTTCTAGGGTAATTTTTTTGGGGGGAGGAGGGGGGGGGCGGGTCATGACATTTTCAAATGAAGAACCTTTATGTTTACCATCAGTTCTTAGTGGAGGGGTGGAAAGGGAGGAAATGTTGTTTCTCATGATTTCTATGGATGTACGTATGATGACTGACAATTTTTATTGTTTATGTTTCAGGTATCACGTGTGGCCCAAGGGTCACGCCCCCACTAATTTCGCCAAGTGGAGAACAGCCACAACACCCTACACTGTGAGTCTGGGTGGAGTGCGTCTCTTTGTTGCTGAGTGTCTATTAACCCTATTCGTATGCCCTGGGGTCATTTTGTACCCCCACGGTTGTATTCTTCACATTTTAGAATACATCTAGTACGAAGATCTCTTTGAAACATTCAGTATTTCTCAAAAAATCATTTTGACAGACTGCTATGCAAAGCGTACGGATCGGATTAACGAGTAAATTTCCTCTTTAGAAAGTGGTGGCACAGAGTTCCCCACGTCGTATGGATACGATAGGAAAGCACAAGGTACGGATAGGGTTAAAACTATAGAAGTAGAAACATTGCTCTCCAGCATAAGATGATGCAACTATCTTTCTGAAATGATTAGGTAATTAGATAAAGGTGGGGGGGGGGGTTAAAAGTAGATCAAGTAGATGATGTTTCTTTGTGTAAGGGTAAAGATAGTGCATACTTAGGTGTGTGTTCAGTGTCTGAAAGGGTAAAGATAGTGCAGACTGAAGTGTGTTTTCAGTATGTTTTCCCCGTGGCCCATTCAGTTTCAGGGTTGTGGTCCATGCACAAAACATTCGGATGGTCTAGTAGTAATGGTGTCATTCTTGCAATTGTGATGCTAAAGGTTCTATTCCATTGCTTTAAGGACATCTGAATGTCCGGTTGCAAATTGATTCTTGGCAATTGTCAAAGGCAGAAATAAGTAAATTGTTTTATTTGAGTACTTGAACAACATTCTTACTGAATGTCCTTTGGAGGACTGGGATGTTAATGCTTTTCTGACAAGCTGAGTTAAGCTTTTGCAGCCTTTGGCTTGCAATGATATAATATTATAAGTTGTCAATTCCACTATGGGGACAACATTTCAATTTCTTAATGTAAGACTCCACCTTATGCCATTTTGAAAAGTGACGTATGACAGAGTATTACACCGAGCAGTTGATTTTCAGATTTTAGAAGCCATAAGTGTTAAAAAGGGAAGAAGCTTCACGATATGTTTTCTTCCATTGTTAATTAATTTTTTTTCTTCAACCAAGGTGGCTTGGGAGCAAGATTTTGAGCCATATGTGGTGGTGAGACAAGACATTCCGACCTACGATCAACGGTTTCTCGGCTTTGGCTGGAATAAAGTGTCGCACATCATGGAGCTTGATGCACAAGGGTAATTTATCATTTGTATATTTCATTGTTCATAAACTGATTGAAATTAATTGTAAATAATCCGTCCAATTTAATACAATTTAAATATTCAGGAGGCAAGCTGCTTTGACCACATCTATAAGGGGCCTCTAGGGCTGAATGGGAAACAGTGTCCCGTAGAAAGACAGAGATACTAGATAATATATTCTTCCCTCTGCATGAATCCAACTCAAGTTTTGTCCATGCCCTAGTGGAGAACCTAACCTTTTTACCTCAGACACCAGTATTTATAGCTTGTGATTGATAGGACCTCTGATCCTCTGACTTATGAGCAGGAGGTCAGAGGGTGCCGTTAGTAGGTTCCCCTCTACTTGTCCTGTTTTTTAAAAATTAAATCTATGTCCTCTTTGCTCTTTCCCAAAACTAAGTCACAGTTGTTCTGGTGATGTGTTTCTGTTAGCTCAATACTAACCTGATAGTTGCTGAGGAGTTTTTACTGTTTGCAGAGCGGAGCTGTCTAGACATTGTTTTGTCCGCCGAAGGACCCTGATTTGATTTGTATAAATTCCTATTTTTTGCTTGAATTCTATTTCCATCTGCTCATATGCGTTTTATCGTAAATGATGTGGAAATAAACATTTTTAATTGCAATATTAACCTGACAAGAGGGCCTACTCATTTTTATTTATTCACTGACAAGTATTTGCAATACACAATTGTTTGCCCCTGTTGGTTTGTTATGTAACCATAATGTACAGGGATCTGGGGGCTCAAATTTTCTTTCCAAACTTCCTATTTTTGGTGGGATGATTTTGAAGAAAACTCATAAGCTTGGTCATGAGTGGTTGGCTGGTCTGTGTTAAGCAGCTTGAGAATGGTCTAAGAAAAGGTTGGGGTTTTTTTGTCAAAAGTGATCAGGCTCTCGGACCCGCAAACGTAAAATTGTGGGTTCAAATCCAGTTAGGGGTCCGACGTTGTGTCCTTGGGAAAGGCACTCTACAAGAATTTTCCTCACTTCACCCAAGTGGGAATGGGTACCCAGCTATAGACAGCGAAAGATCCTGTCAATTTTTTTTTGTCTTTGATCGTTTAATCAGCTGCATGCACTGTATGCTTCTCGGGAAGCTGAGAATGTTTCGGAGTGTTCTATGGCCTGCTGGGGTAATAATATAGTGTGTAAAGTGCATAGAGCTTGCTGGTGAGCAGGGGTATGCGATATACAAATGCTATTTATTATTATTATTATTATTTTCAGTTTCTCATGCACCATTCAAGTAACCTGAACAGTACTGGGAGAGACGTGGAGGTCATTGAGGGTTTTTTTTTAAACCTCACTACCTCAGAGTTGGAATAAAAGAAGTCTAATCTTGTGCCTGGGACCACAAAGAGTGTGATGTTATTAATTTTTTCCTTCATTTATTCTTAACTTTTTTGTGAGATCACAGGTCACATCGTGTTTTTTTCTATCTTTATTTCAGCTATGAGTTTGTCATTCTGCCCAATGCATTCATCATCCACATGCCACATGCTCCCAGCTTCGACATTGCCAAGTTCAGGTCCAGTTCGTTGTATAGAAAGTAAGTATCTCTTTCATCATAAGAAGAATGTTTAGTGACTATTTTGAACTATTTAGTTCATTTGTATAGAATGAAAGAGGTTTACATCCCAATAGTGGGTGGTTGGCGGGTGCTGTGATGGGGTTTGTTCTGTCTTTTCTATCAAACATTTATCGCGGGCAGTATTGCATACAGAAGTATCTCAAAGCCGCCAAAAATGACTTACGTCTGTATGCAATACTGCCGGCGCTGTCATCTTTAGCCCACCTCGTTCTTTTCTTTGCATGTTATTAACGAGTTTCACCTCTAATGTCTGGCACTTATGTGACCTTTTTGTGTTGTAAGTGCAATAAAACTCTAAATAAAACCTACAAAAATATCTTTAATAACAAGTGTTTTAGAACTTAGATTAAACACCGGTTCAGTTTATTTTGTCTGAAAGGAAAAGAATGTTGTGATAAAATGTAAGGCAACTGAGTCCTCTGTGGCATACTGGCTCTAATTCAAGGAAATCTGGCAAAAGTGGCTACTGTGTGGATGACTTCTTTTCTTTCCCTCTCTTTGTTTTTCAGTCAGTCTGTGGGTGGTTGGTGGGTGCTCTTGCTGCTTCTTTCCTATCGATCTATTGTCCTTATCTCTCCTCCTTCTTTACTTTGTATATTACTTTCTGGTAACTGCTCTAACCTTCAAAATTTATAATGACCTTTTTGTGTTACAAGTGCTGTTAAACTTTTACTTAAACTAAATTAAGTCAGTCAGTTGATCTTGCACAAGTGCATCAATTCAATATGAGTCTCCTTACTAAAAAAAAACACCCTAACTGCAAGTGGTCATTTCTGTAGTGTAGGTCTAGCAAACATCAGGAGGTTTAGGTTTAGTATGGTAGGGTCATTCCACAAGCACCCAGCTCATTTTGTAAAGTTTTGAGAAAATCAAAGGAAAAGAGAATGCTCAAATCAGAACTGTGACATAGGCCATCCTTATAAATATTTATCCGTCAAAAACTAGGAAGGAGGTAATGAAACAGAATAAAACTATATTGTTAAGATGCCCTTGACATCTTTATTTGAATTATGGCTTTATCTTGAAACCCCCAGGAATTGATTTGGGGGATAGTGGATTGATGCTGATGATGCTGGCACGCCACTTTGAGTTGTTGTTTACACTTTTACTACCATCGACAACTTTGGTTGCCAGGCCGTTGTATGCGCTCTTTACCGCTGGCAACTCTAGTCGCCAACTCGACCAGACACTCTTAACATAATTAAATAACAAATGGAGCCACTGCACGGAAGTAAATACCGAAGAAAGTCACTCTATGCGGAAGCTGAATGGTTGATGAAACTGTGAACATTTAAAGCGTGTTTCTTGGGCTGTGAAGGTTGGGGGTTTTTTCTATTTTTTAAAATCCTGCCATGGATTCAGCATTCTAAACTAATACAGTACTTGAGTGTTTTTCCTTCTATGAGCCTTCGGTATTGTCCGTGATAAGTTGAGTACTACTCTTTCAGCAGGTGTATCTTATTGAGCTTGGGGGATTTTTTCGAAAGATAATGAGGTAAAAATTCATTTGAGCAAGCTTAATCACCTCATATTTTCAATTTAGTGTTAAATTTCTTAAGAGGATACCTTTTCTAATCATCACTATTTAGTGTTGGGTTTATTTAAAGTTGAAATATTGTATTTTTAATACTATTTGGTATAGCAGTGTTTGTAACCCCAGACATACATTATTATGTTGTAATGCTGTCTTTGCGTGTCAACTGTAGCTAATTGCATTATTCATTTGTTTCTATTCAGGTGTCTGAAGATACTGAAAGGAGAGTTCCAGAGAGATTTGTCCAAGAAATACGGAATTAAAGCCTTGAAGTATTTGTCTGTTGAGTGAGCAAATGCCTTAATTGAACCTGGTGTTTTGATAAGAGTGTTTGTGCTATTTGTGTATGTATGTTTGTAGATGGGTGATGACGTGTTAATATATTTGTAAAGTGTGGGTGTACGAGTGTGTATGCATATATGTGTGTGTGTGTGTGTGTGTGTGTGTGTGTGTGTGTATGTGTTTGTGATGAAGTGGGATTATTTATAAACAGATGTACATTTTATAATGCATTTCAAATTTTCACTTCTTTGTGACCATGAGTGTGTAGATTTCACACATCAGCCATTCAAATATCACGAGTGCATGGCTTCCATATGTTTCTGCAACTCTGAATGTCTCAGATGTTCAAAACATGTCTCTTAAATGGACAGGTTGCATGTTCCTCTTTGGACTTGATGTCAACGTGTCACTTTTTTTCTATGCTTCCCTCATAAGTTCTTCACTAAATTTTTGCTGAAATGTCTATGTTTTCACCCTCTGATAAATGATGGTTTGGAAACAGGGAATGAGAAATATAATTGCTGTATTTTGTGAACTGCTTGGAACTTTGTATGATTATAAAGAACTATCCAAATTGACTTTGGTTCAGATCCCCAGCGGGTCTTCCTTTGACTATGGTTGTTTGGGGGAGTTTTCAAGGCCCTCTACTCATTAAGGTCTGACATCTGTCCTCTTAAATAATATTGCGTCAATGAAAAGGGCATTGATAAACCAGTGGTGTACTCTACTGTCTGAAAGACTCACTACATCATAAGCCTGGGGCTAAATGTACGGATCATTTCAGAAAAATATCAAATGAACTTTTGTGTAATGCAACTATGTATGTTAACATTTAAAATTGGGAATCAAAATTGTCCATGACTGCCAAACTGTGGCATGCATTTGGACTTTGTACACTCATTGGTTTTCTTTTTTCCTTTTTGAACAAATAATCTAAATGTGAGTCAAAATTGGGATATGACAGTTTGTCTCCCAGCTGGCAGCTCATGAAACAGTGACTTGTTATTGTAGGCGAGCACAGAATAAAACAACTCCTCTCGGTGGATTTTTTTTCCCTTTTCCAGTTCTTGTGCCAGACACCCAGAGTCATTTCTAATAGCAGCATGTTTGAGAGAGTGGAAGTGTTACCTGTTTCTGTTGCACCCATTCAATGTCTTCCAACTGTGTGTGTGTGTGTATGTATTGCTAATTTTTCTAATGGGGAATATGGGAACCGAGATCTGAATGAACATCATCATGAAAACTGAAATTTGGAACTTCGGTACTTCCTGGAAGTTTGATAGCTTTTCTTTTGATGCAATTCTTTTGCAAGATGTGATCTTGATTTTCGGATGTACATGGGATTGAATAATTGAGGTACAGAGTGTTTTGTATATTTGACATACTGTGAAAAGAATTGATTTAGATTTATTTACTTTTTCTAACCTGACTTATCACAAAGCCAAAATCCTTCCTTTTCTTTTTGTCTGATAGCATGATATTGTTGTGTCTTTCTATGGAAGGCACTGAGAGATGAGGAGGGTATATGCTGTTTTCAAAGATAAAAAAAGCTAGAATAAGGGGAAAAAGATCCGATGGAATGAATATATGCACGAGACTAAAAGCCACATTTCTGCTGTAACAATATATATATGTTAACATCCTGATGAAATCTGCGCCAGGCCCGAGATGTCCGTTGCAAACACTCTCCTGGCTGGGTGACAGATCGGGTATTTTGTACTGCTGGCTGTGTGACTGCAAAATGTTAAATAATAATAATACATTAAACACAAAACAGTTGGCAAATCAATGCTCTTTCATGAATCATTTTGCTGAGGAGAAGGAAGGTAGACAGAGTTGAGGTAGTTGGGGGGGAGGGGGTGGAATGGGGGAAGGGATTATTGTTTTCATTATGAATAGTGAACCAATTAATTAAAATGCACCAAAAGTGAACACACATAGAAGGATGTGCAAAATAAGAAAAGGACACGCTACGGAGAGCAAGCCGGAAATAAACCTGCTACGAATGATGGCCACGTCTCGGAGTCTAAAATAATATATGTTTGTGTATATATAGGCCTATACTTTCCTGTACTGCAAGAAATGTTTGGAAGTTTGCTTGTAATTTGTCTAACTTGAAACGGCGATGAATTGAAAAACTTCACATCCTCTCTGTGGTTAATTTTTGGGACCAAATTTTTTTTCTTTTTTTTCTTTTTTTTTTTTTCTTTACAGCTTTTTCTTTTAAAAAAACTTACAGAGAATAAGTGTTTGGTTGGAATGTGTATACATTGTTTATGCTATACAGTTTCGTTTATTGTCCATGTTCGAAGGTTTTTTGAGGTTGTTGGTTTTTTTAAGTTTCTGTTTTTATCAGCCATTGTATTGCTGAAGCCGGTGACATGTAGGCAACCACAAGACTTAGAACCACTTTTCTGCCATAACAACTGAAAGTGACCTAAAACTTTCTGCAGCTGTTCTCCGGACCAAAAAGGGTTCTGTTTGGTTGAGATTTTCATTTCTGTTTTAGTCTACTGTTAACTATAAAGTGTCACTTTTAAATTTCAGGAGCAGCATGGGGAACATTTCAAAGCAAAGCCTGTTCAAAACCAGAGTTGTGACTCGTGATATACATTGTTATTTTTTAGATTTCTAGCTTTTATTTCAATATTTTCTTGAAAAGTATACTCACTTCTATGTTTGTGTTAAGTCAGATGTGTACAATGACTTTTATTTCTACCACTGCTGCAATATTTACAAATGTTTGTGTGTTGAAAGCCCAACTTGAAGATTCTTTTTCTTGTTTCTTGTTAAAGTTTAATTACTTATTGCTAGTCTTGTATCCTTCTGAAAGTTCTTCCCTTTTCGTAATAACTGCCTTGGAGGGCCTGTTCATTCCAAATTATGATTCCTGTACCCCAGATATTTACAGCATTGCTTCCTTTAGACGCATGTTACTATAACTCTCATATTCTAACTCTGCCAATTGCCAATTACCCATCTGCAGCTTGAGGACCTGAAAAAAATAAAGTAGAAATGATTTTCTATGAATGCAGCGTTGTGCACGAAGGAACCTTGAATTGAAGTTGCAACGATCTTAAAGTTAAAGTCTGGAGCCTTTCCACTTGATTCAAAAGACCCTGAAACACATTGTTTTGCCGCTTCACTTTGTATTTTTGTATTTTTGGAAAACGAAAAACAAAACCTAGATCCTATTTACTAGCCCATAACATGGGAGGGGTCTCTGCTTTTATCAGCGTTGTTCCAGAAGTACCTAAGTCATGTTTTTAAAGTTTGGAGAAAATAAAGAAAAATTAGGTTGCCCAGATTCAAACCATGGCTATGGTATTTGTGATTTTTTAAGGCCACACTCTAATTCTTGGCACCAAAATCTACAGTTATTTCAACTTGTTTTTTTCTCATTTTCTCAAAGTATTCTGTTCAAGGATTTAAAATATTCAGTTTTGGGAATCATTATCAGTTACGTTATCACAGAAATGGCAAATTAGAGTGAAACCAGGCTATGTGAAGGACCATTTTCAAAAGCTAAAAACTCAAGAACCATCCATGCTATCTATGAGCTAATTACATATTTGTAATCTGCACACAAATCTTAAGAAAGTTACGCTAGCTTTTCTTGAAATTCTAAATATTAATAATTTTATTACTTTTAGAACATTTGCATATTAGCGAATGACAAAAATAGTCAAAATAGCAAAGGAAAAAAATCATTAAAATAATATTTATTTCAAAATTAGAAAAAGCTAGCATCATTTTCTTTTTAATTGCATGGTGCACTTACCGTCCAAATTTCATATCTTTATCTTGAATGGTTTTTAAGTTTTTAGCTTTTAAAGCCAAGAAATGAACATTTTGAGAAAAGAAGCAAAAACATCTCAAAATTGCTTTAAAGCATTGTATTGGCTCACAATGTAACCAAGTTCATGGAGCTATCTGTTTGAAATAAAGCTTTGATAGTACTTCCATTCGATGTGGCACATAATTTTCTAGGGAAGTTTTTCAAAACCCAAAGAACAATGTTTTTGGACCCAAACTGGAACCCAAAAACCCATGTGTGGCCTTAAATTCAAAACAAGAAGAAATAATGGAGCAAATGGAAACTCTGTTGTAAATTGCTATTTAAAATCTGTTCAATAGATGGCTTTTTCTGGAAATCCTGGAAAACTGATTTGGACAATTGTGGAATAACCCTGATGACATTATCTACCTATGTTGGAAAGGTCATTAAAGTCAATCCTATACAATACATGAATAGAGATACTGATCGCTTCAGCGCTATAGGCCTACTTTGGTACAACTGTTTTAACTAGCTAGTGTCCAAGTGTCCATGGTGTAGCAGTTACATGCTTTGCCGTTACATGCAAAAGACATGAGTTCAGTTCCTGTGTGGGGAGGTTTTTAAAAATCAAGTGCCACCACTGTCTGCTTGGACGTTGTGTCACTCTCAACCCTTGTTGACCATGGCAGGCAGGGTTGAAGCAACACCCCACCCTAAATGATCCATACAATGTCAGTGTGCATTTATAACACCTACAATTACAGTTTAACCCTTCCAGTCCCATGCGCGTATATTTTCAGCAGCGCTTGTAGGCCTACCTCCCACCGTCCCAAGAGCGTATGTTCTCAGTTTCGGGGGGTATGGCCTACCGAATATGCGCATTTTTCCAAATTAGCAAACCTAATTAAACTTTAGTTTTCACAATATTTGTTCATTTACCTTTACACATTGTTACATGTTATTATCTAAACCTCATTACAAAGATACTGCATCACTTTTTAGGATGCATGCCTCTTTTTCTGAAATACCGCTGTATTGGCAGGGGCTGGGGTTAGGGAGTGCACAAAAATGGCTGGGGCTGGAAGGGTTAAATTGTTTTTACTCTATTTGTTTATCTCTGTTTGGACTGCTCAGTGTAAGACTCCATATATAATTTTGAAAAGTGACGTATAATGGAGTTTTAACTTGAGTGGACGATTTATTTACTCAGTGAATCCATGGAAGCGAGAGGGTGTCGATCAACTATCCAGTCTCTAGTTTACAGTTTACACGTGGCCTACGGCTTGTATTTCAGTGCAATATCTTACTTTATTTCATCTCCGTCTGTAAAAAGATGAGAAACCCCAACATGGTCAACTAAAGTCACTCATCTTTTTTACGACATTGATGATGCGTGTCAGGTGAATGTGGAATTAAGTCCATGATGCTGTAATAATATGCCTTTGTTTGCTTTGTGTGCAGCAGTATTGCCATCCTGTGTGTGTGTGTGTGTGTGTGTGTGTGTGTGTGTGTGTGTGTGTGTGTTTCCTAGATTTCCTAGACTTTCTTAGCATGCCTGCAGATTTAACTCATTCTGTGCCAACCGTCTATATGTTAACGATCTTTAGTACAGGGGCTATGTCACTTGTCTATATGTAGTAATAATTATAATAATAATAGTTCGTCCATGAATGTCTGACAATAACCAATGCATCTGCAGAGGGGAACACAGTATTTCTTCCGCAAAATTTCATATATATATAGATGATGCTGCAAATGCGATTTGGTCTGTTTCTGACAAAATTTATTGATGTTGACTGGAAGCATTCATCTAGTTTATCATTTACTTTTTTGGACAGGGTTTTGTTATTCCTCATGGTTTTATGATGAATGTGATATTCATGTATAATGTGTCCCACTTATCATAAAGTACTCACGGTGTAGACACATTTTCTCTACTGTCCAAAATAAAAGAGTGAATTTCAAAATACAGTCTAGCATGCACATAACAAAACATGTGCATAGGTAACAAAATTTCAGTTCCCAAATTTTGCCTGATACATGTATATTCCTCTGGCAGGAAAGCATGATTATGTGGTGCTGACTTGTTTGTTCTCACATTTATGAGGCGTTCAAAACGTTCTATCTTTTGTCCTGTAAGTATATAATACGGTTCCTGAAAGGTTTCTGTATTATGCAGTGTATATATGGATGGAGAAAGAAATTAGCAGCTGTTTTGAGGGTACAGCTTTAATGATGGTATGGATATTTTCTGTGTAAATTAAATTAAGTTGCGTCGGATCTTTTCATGTTGATACACTCCCAATGGAAACTGTCAAGTCTCGAACATTTGACATTGTCTTTATGGTTTCATGATATTTGTTTACTAACACTAACATAATTATTGGTCTTGTGCTATGTGAAGGAATTCTTGTCATTAAAAACGTTTGCCCTGTGGGTTTTGTTATTAGATAATAGAATTAATATTTGTGAAGCGAGCTGACATAATGAATTATTCTCGGATTCAAACCTTAAGGACATAGATACATCACGCTTACAGGTGAAGTTTTTACAATTTGTAAGTATGAAATAATAAAAGACAGGTTATAGTTAAAGAATATGGTATTAAATAGTAAATCTACAAATTTGACCCTAATGTCAATTTTGGCCAATATATCCATTTGTGGATTGCGAGAAGTTACTCATTTTGTCAGCACGCCTCACATTTATGTTCTGAAGAAAAGGATCAGTTTCAAGAGGATTCAGGGAAGAGTAGGTAGGTCTGTATACTCTTTGGACATGTAACGTAAATTGTGTGCTTTTTGGGGGAGGTCTTAGAAGCACCTTAGTTTACAAGGGAAGGCATCCTTTAGACAAGACCTTGTTGGCAATACTTTCTATTGGGATGCATTCTAAATCAAGGGAACATACTGTCAAGATTTTGCTGTATTAATTTTTTGTCCAAAATGAGAGTTTTTTGGTTTTTTTACTCCAGTAGCTTTTAAGTTTTGGAAAAGCACAATTTCATTATTAGTATTACCACCGACAAAATAATGAATAAAAAACTAAAGTAATGGTACGTTTAATATGTGAAGCGGCGTGGTGGAATCAGGCTCTCGTCAAAATAATCAAAGTGAGGAAACTTGCATTTTTCCGCAGGTTTATGAATTTTTATCAAATTTTTGTATTTTGGCTCAACACCTTTCATGCCTATTAAAGAACTCATTTCTGCAGAAATTTTTTTGAAAAACGTTGATTAAAGGCACCAAACATGTAAATGTTCAGTTACCACACACTCTTAAGCTAAGGAAATAACTAATCTTTGGCGGCCATTTTCTCACTAATTTTACATGTGAAAACAGGTGACCTCCACCCCTTCTTTCGCAAATACCTCGACTTGTATTCAAGGTATATGGATATTTTTTCATGAAAATAAAGACAATTAAATAAGCTTTAAGATGATACCAATACCTCTACATGCCCCAAAATTGACGAAAAATTGATTCCACCACACTGCCTCACATATATTTTTCTTTCATCAAATTAGAAGTCTCAATTCCTAAATCTTGATGTTATGCTCTTCCGAAGTATGAGATTGCCTAAATGATCCATCGGGTGCGCTGTTGGCTCAGATGGAATCATGCCATGCTACGATGGAAATGACCCTGGTTCAAATTCTCAATTAGATGGTCTCAGACCTTGGATGATTTGAGGAGACTTTTGAAGGCTCTCTAGCTACTTGACTTGGCCGTACCACAGATGGACTTCGAGTTCGGAGGTTCAGCAGCTTCAATAGCCTGACAGTTGAAAGGGGCGTAAAACTTATACCAAACCATGTTTTGTTTATCATCTCTTACAGCTTAATGTTTGCTTTTCCTGATATATATAGTCATGTTATGAGGGGTTTGCATTTGTGTGTGTGTTTTGGGGGGGTTGATGAAAGCATTGTAATGTCTTAATTTAATTTCAATGGCTTAAATGATTATCTTTGATATGTAGGCTACCACAGGTCAATACACCAACTGAAATAATTATGGACATTTCAAAAAATTTTACGTACCCTCCTTCACATCAGTATTGAGTTGAGGTGGTTTTTGGGTGGGTTTTTTGTTGTTGTTGTTTGTTTGTTTGATTGTTGTTGGGGGTTTTTTTTTCTTTTTTGAGGGGGATTTCTTTTATAATTTATATATATACATTTTCATTTGTCTACCATGTTGTTGATGATTGTATGCTCACGTCACGAATGATTTTTTTTTACAGTTTTAACTGCATTTAGCCCTGTTTTAGGGCCTTTTTTCTGAATTGATTTAGATTTTGTTGTGGCAAAGATATTGATATAGGCGTATATTATTCTTAGATCGATCACATTTGTCAGGTATTGACCATGGTACGCATACGACACCAGTGTCAGTGGTGTAGCAGTTAGGCGCTTTGCTGTCTCACACAGGAGACATAAGTTTTAATTCCTGATTGGCGGGGGGGTTATGTCGAGTATCGATGTCGGTATTCATATCGCTCAGCCCGGATTAACCCTGACTGGTTGGCCTGGGTCAAAGCTGCCCATCTCCTAAACTATCTAGAGTCGATGGGTGGTGTAAAACACCTACTATTATCCTATTACTCAAAAAACAAGAGTGAAGACTTGTCGGGGCTGTTTAGCTTAGTTTACAAGCTCAGTTGTCTTTATCATATCTTTGAGATTCGATTAGTCTTAATCTGATTAAAGGGAAGATGATCAACGTGGTAACATGGTCATTTAGCGGTGGGGGAAAAGGAGATCAACCTGCAGAAACAGTAGAAGAAAAGAAATAAATAAAACCTATTATTGATGCTTTCCTGTCGTATTTTTGTAGAGAGAGATTGTGATGTGTTGGTATGATGATGATGTAATATTTTGTATAATATTTTGCTTTGCAGAAAGCTGGTGAAAATGAAGCACACTGTTAATTT